CATGCTTAAAATAAGCTCTCTATAGAGCGAGCTCTCTTCGTAGAGCTTCTTCTTGTGTGTATAATATATGATGTATTCAGTGTGATGTGTGAACTAAGCTCTATATATTGAGCTGATTATTAAATAAAATTCTGTGAGAATGTCAAATATTTTGTACTGTCTTTTTTCCTACTATGTTTTAGTTAATTTTCTTCATCACATCTTTAATCGGATACCTTGACTAATTAAAAAAATATGCTTTTTTTTTAATATGTTTTACCCTCGAAGTTATTTAAAAAAAAAAAAAAAAACAAGAAAAGAAAAAACTGAGAACTTGTCTATATTGATCATCTTGTTAGTCTCAACTTTTCTTGAGATTTTCCAATTAAGATAGCTTTGGAAGATATCCATGGTTAAAAAGGTTCTATGCAACTTGGATAACAGTTAGTTTGTAGGAAATTAATACAGTTAAAGACTCATAAACTGTATCATATGAAAATTACAAACTAATATGTTGCGTTGGAAAATTGATTTTTAAATTCGAAGTATGATAACATTTGAATCCAGCGTTAAAACCAATAATGTCTGAAAGACATGATCATGGATATGTATATGGAAAGGTATTGATTCATGATCAAAAGAACATCCATTAATATAAATTTTGAAAAACCTGCGACTAAAGCTCGAATATAAATGTTACGCTTCCAGTCGATTCAGAAAATTATATTTTGAATGGCAAAATTAGATTATAGGTCAACAAGTTGTTTTCCGAAGTATTGATCATGGCAGATAAGTTCTGCCAAGAATGAAAATTGGCTATTTGGATTGTAACTAAGGCAACCTTGAAAATTATATATATCAAACATCCCACAAATTGGCGTTATCGAAAACGGCCTATAATTCTCCAACCCATGCGTGAGCGTAAGGCGTCTGTTGCGAACTTCTGCCGCCACCCAAGTGTTGCCAAGCTGCTACTATCGTCATCGTTGTAGGTTTTCTTTGATCTTTTATTTTTAAATTTATTATGAACTAGTATTATTATGATATACGCATGGAATGGTTTGATCATGCTTAAAATAAGCTCTCTATAGAGCGAGCTCTCTTCGTAGAGCTTCTTCTTGTATGTATAATATATGATGTATTCAGTGTGATGTGTGAACTAAGCTCTATATATAGAGCTGATTATTAAATAAAATTCAGTGGGAATGTCAAATATTTTATACTGCCTTTTTTCCTACGTATTATTTTTTAGTTAATTTTCTTCATGACATCTTTAATCGGGTACCTTGACTAATTAAAAAAAATACGCTTTTTTTTTTAATATGTTTTACCCTCGAAGTTATTTTAAACAAAAAAAGAAAAGAAAAAACTTAGAAGTTGTTTTAAACAAAAAAAGAAAAGAAAAAATACACAGTTATATGATTATGTCGTCCAAGTGGGATATTGTTGGAATATTTTTATATGGACTTTCCTAATCATAATAATTCACTCTGTAATTAATTAAAGCATCTTATGGACAACTGTGTTAATGTGAATTAACACATGCATATATGTTAAATATCAGTCCATTATGGGATGGACACTTATTTTATTAACTCGGTTGAGGCATATGAACTTCCTCTATCTCATAATATATGGTCAGCCCATTGGACCAAATACTCTCTCATTTGGTAAAGCAAATATCCTCACCCCATCTCATTTGCTCTATTTTTTGGTGCCACCCTTTGTTTTTGGAAAAGGGTGTGCGTGGTTTTTTGGGGGTGTGGCCGACCAAAACAAAAAGAGGGAGAGATAGGGAGGAGCTCAACGCTCCTCTTGCCTTTCTTCATCCGTTTGCAGCTCCTCCACCCACTCCGACCGGCCATTGGCGGATTCCGGCGACTGTGGACGAGCCGGGTGCTGTTCACCGGAAGAGGTATGCCTAAATCCCAAATAAGAGTTTTTTATGGCATTTTCGGATTTTACGCTAGATTAGTGTTTTTGAGCTAATTTAGATTGTGTCTAGATCATTTTAAATCGAACAAGAACATCATAAAATAGGAAGTCAATAAATTTGCTGATACACATAGAATATCAGGAAAATAGACATCAAACGCACTTGTTGTATCTATAGAATACAAAACACATATTCAGATATTCGTCAACACATATTCATTAATTCTGACGAATACCGAAAATTGATGCAAAGTGGAGAGAAATTTCTCTAATGTTATTGATAATATGAAAACTTTAAAAACAATCTATCAATTATTTAAATAGACTTTGAAAACCGAAAAAAGAAAAAGGAAACTAACCCTATCTAACCTGAGAGAGATGAGTTGTCGAGAGAGAGTGTTGGTTGCGAAGATGGATAAGGATGATACCGGATCGAAAGGATCCTTAAATCACCATCGTGCTCTAAATTCGTGCATACTTGGCCTAAAATCTCATTTTAGACCCGTTTTAGAAATTAGCCCAAAACTGGCATCTCAAGTCATTTTTGAGCAAAACGTTGTTTCACAAAAGTTGCTCGGAACTAAATTTTCTTCAACCTAATATTGATCACTTTTTGAAATCAAGCATCTATCTTGGTTCTTTAGCCTAAACATACTCAAATTTACGTTTTCAGTCATTAACCAAGTGTTCAGGTTTGATCCGAAACTAGGGATTCCCATCGTTTTAGGTTTCCCACATCTTTTTAACCACTGAATCATCTCATTTATACATCTCATTACTCATACTCTCCATTACAACCAAGATTGGTTCACAATTTCTAAACTAAATTTCAACGGAGTTCTGCCTAATTTTTCGTGTTTCCTGAGCTAACCATAGCTCGTTTTATCCATTGTTTCAACTTTCAAACACCAATCACAATCTTTCTCATCTCCTTTTTATCATCATAAACGTCATAAACGATAAGGTTTCACTATAAACAAATATGCTAGAAAAAAAATCCAATAACCAAAAATTTAACCTTTAAACATTATGTTCTTTGGTATCTCGAATTTGTATAAGCAAATCATCATTCTTAGTAAAACTTTTTCCACAACCTACAATGTTCATGGACATGCAGCCAAGGGGAAAAATGAGGAGGGAAATTGAAATTTTACCATAGAAGAAAAATTAAAATCTTACCTTACAATGTTCCGGTGACGCTAGTCAATGGTGGTCTTCGTCAGTTTTTGCTTAAAACTCTTTTTTTCTCACTTTGGGTTAATTTTTTTCTTCTCCTCTCTTGGCTGAATGCTCTCTGGTTTCTTAGCATAAAGAATGAGCTTTTAATTCCATTTCTCACCTCTTAAAACCGTTCACAAAATGGTGGAGGATTTAAGTGCAATTTTTGACTTTTCTAAGGTCATTTTTAAAAAGTTCAACAAAATATCTCACTTGGCTTCTCCACTAATCTTGGCCGGCCTTATCCTCTCTTTCTAGGTGTCCCAATCTCAGCCTTCCATTCCATTAATCACTTTAAATCTCAACCATCCATTTCTAATAGTTATCTACTTCGGTTCACTTTAATACATATTTGGTGCCCGTTTTATCCCAGTTTTTTAGACAGTTGGTCAACATGGTCAACTGTACTTAACCTTGGCTAACCTTTCAAGAGTGACATATTGATCAACTCTTAGTCAATAAATTTTGACTTGGTCAACCCTAATCGGTCAAAAATCCTAATTTTCTCGGTTCAACCTTCCGAACCCCCTTTCCGTCTGTTTTTCGTTCTGATTGTTTCTAAAATCCAAGAATTGATGTTTTTCAATTCTTTGTCATTTTGTAACCTTAATATTTAGGGTTTTACCCACTTGTGGGTTTAACAAAACGTTACGTGCCTCTTTCTTGAATACAATCTGAAAATCGGTAACTGCATCGTAGTTCAAAAATTACATATTTTTAGTTTCTAACTTCCTATTCAGTACTATTATCAACAAGTAC